ACAGTACGTGTACTGTATTATACAACAAATAATGTACACATATTTATAACTTATTCTGAGTTCAAGGATCTTTAAACAGCATTTATATTTACCATTGAAAACTATTTTTATGAACATTTTGAAGCAGCTCCGTACACTTTAAAACATTTTCCTTTTTTAAAGAAAACATATTTGTGACATTTTTAAGCAATGACTCAAACAGAAAACCATTTTTAGTGTAAAAAAATCACAAAATATTAAACAGCATATTAAAAAGATTTACTATAACCTTTAATTTTTATGTTCTTATCTTTGGAAGTGTATGCATTGTGCCTGATTTGCTTGATTGAAGAAGGTGTTGGGAGAGGATTAGGTGGAGGATGCATTGTGCCTGATTTGCTTGATTGAAGAAGGTGTTGGGAGAAGATTAGGTGGAGGATGCATTGTGCCTGATTTGCTTGATTGAAGAAGGTGTTGGGAGAGGATTAGGTGGAGGATGCATTGTGCCTGATTTGCTTGATTGAAGAAGGTGTTGGGAGAGGATTAGGTGGAGGATGCATTGTGCCTGATTTGCTTGATTGAAGAAGGTGTTGGGAGAGGATTAGGTGGAGGATGCATTGTGCCTGATTTGCTTGATTGAAGAAGGTGTTGGGAGAGGATTAGGTGGAGGATGAGAATGGAGATGCAGCTGTAAGGCACAGTAATCTGCCATCTTTATCTCTATACAAGACATAGGCTCAGGATTTTCCTTTATTTGAGTGCCAGTAGGGTCTGCTTTGGGTTTCTTGGATGTTTTTTTTGGGGGGATAACGAGTCCAGGGTTCTCTGCTTTCCTACTTGCGTGTTATTAGTCTATGTTCTTTGGTGCATTATTTAGTTAAATAAAAATTTTGTGCATTACTACCATTAGTATAAAAAAAGTAGGGTTGTGTGTCATCAACAGTAAAAAAATATGATTTTTTGTATGTTAAAGACTTATAATGTTAACTGAAAGACTGCCAAATTTTATGAAAATATACACTATATTGAAAGTCAGAAGTATTAAATCTGTAAAGACTTTAAAACAAATACAAAGAGGTCATGTGGTTTGTAAAATTGACCGAGCCTGTGTTGAGAGAGATAAGCTGAACGGAGTCGGAAACTATGAATGATGTATGTGCAGGGAAATTTTATGTTTTGTAAGCTGAACGGAGTCGGAAACTATGAATGATGTACGTGCAGGGAAATTTTATGTTTTGTAAGCTGAACGGAGTCGGAAACTATGAATGATGTATGTGCAGGGAAATTTTATGTTTTGTAAGCTGAACGGAGTTGGAAACTATGAATGATGTATGTGCAGGGAAATTTTATGTTTTGTAAGCTGAACGGAGTCGGAAACTATGAATGATGTATGTGCGGGGAAATTTTATGTTTTGTAAGTTGAACGGAGTCGGAAACTATGAATGATGTATGTGCAGGGAAATTTTATGTTTTGCTCCTCAAAAAGTCAGCAACGTAAGTGCAAAACAATGTATATCGCAATGACGTATAATGAGGACCCCCTATACCTTGTTCCAATGTGCCCAGACATTTTTCATTTTAGTGGTTTAGGCCTTGATTAAAACTTTTGTGGGGTCAGAGGTCAAACAACCCAAAAATGTAAAATTTAGGCACCTGTGCAGTCATAATTACAGCAGTCAAGATGAAAATTGGTACAAATACAAATTTTCATGCATTTGACACATTGACATACAAAAAAAAGTTGGATTTGCCCATTTTTGAGTCATTTTAGGGGGTCAGAGCTCACAAAAAAACATAATTTTAGGGGGTTTGGTCCATATTTTGACAAATGTATATGGGATTTGGTACAAAGATACTTTTCTACAGGCAACACACAATGACAAACAAAAATGTTGGACATTTTTAGTAACCTTCAGTCACCATCAACGTATCGTTTTAGATGTTACTGACCAGAATCTACTAGTAGTTGTATAGTGTACATGCTCCACTACTACTTGTTACAATAATTGTGTATGTTAAGATCCATCCTGAACATTAATGTGATATATAAGTTTTCTTCAGGGAAGTTAATGCCATATACCATATGTTCACAAAACTTAGTTTTTAAAAATGTTTAAAATACTTTTTAAGCATTCTGTGGAAATATTTTATTAACATGTAGGAAATTATGTTGATTCTTTAGAGCTGTGTATTTAGATTTTCATTATTTACACATCCAACTTTAAAATTTGTGATGCCAATATTTAGAGTGTAGTCTGACAGCTAGCATCTTTCCTTCTAAACTGATTTTAATCATAGGTATTCTCAGCTAGTGATTGGATGAGTGATAAGTATGAAACTGTTAATATGTAATATTCCATGCTGTATTACTTTGTTTCTTAATGTAAATTTAGTATTTTGATTGCTTCGTGTTTAGAAAATGATTGTTTTGTATTATTATTGTTATTTAGTAAGAAAACACTGCCTAAGCTTAATTCACTCTTCATTATATGGGTATGTGTTTGGTATAATTCCTCAATTATATGAAACTTAGTGAAATTTGGGAGTCAATTTATTAGTATAATAGAACATACTTATTTGACTACACTTACAGTTTAATTAAGGGGAACATGTATGTTTTCTTGGATGGATGCAGAAAAAATGCTGTAACTTATGAACTGAAATTACTTAGGTTGATGTTTTGAATATTATATATAGCTGAATGACATTTGATTCTAGTTTTGGTATTGGGTGCTTATATATGTGTGTGAAAATTTAATACTGTCCTGAAGTTGCTAAACTACTCGTAATTAAGAAAAAAGAAGACAATAATGCATGCATTTTATAAATCATTGTTAAGACATAATTAAAATTTGACTAGAATTTAGTGATTTTTTTTATTTGCATATTTTTAATATGCAGTGTTAAATATTTGCAAAACTATATATACACATATGAAAGGCAGATTAAAATGTAATAATTTTTTCATAATAGTCTGTAAGAGGATGAGATGGGAGGAAACTGCAGTAATCACAAATGCTGGAAAGTGCTACATGTGTCCAGTTTGTCATGCTACATATGCTACAACACACACTTTGCGAAATCATTATCTTTATCAGCATAAGGCTCCAAAAAAACACGTATGTTCAACATGTGGTAAAGGATTTACTCGCAGAGGAGACCTTGGGAAGCATCTTTACACTCACTTTCGAGGTTCAACTGACTAAAGTCCTTGTCAAGACTTTGAATGCTACAGCCTCGTATCAAGACAATTCCATATCATTCTTGATTATGAATTATTTTCAGATATAAAATAAGTTTCTAATAAAAAAACTTCAACATTTTTAAAACAAGCTACTAGTTATATGTGATGTATTCAACTGAAATATTAAAGACATTTGTGACTGAAAGAGTACTGTTTCACTTTTATGTATGGATAATTTGATGATTTTTAAGAGATTTTGATACTTGTCCTATAGTCAAGAATTTATATTCTTGTCTGTCATAAAATTTAAGGAAACAACTACATCTGCATATATATGTTTCATTAGTATTTTATATATTTGCTGATGTTTATTAAAGCTTTCACTTCAAATACAAACAAATAGTGATAGTAAGAATGAACAGTGTTTTCTATAAACATTTGATATTAATATGCTGTTATAGTAATATTACTGTTGAAAACCTCTATTCACAAAATATGGTATTGATAATATAGTTTAATTTACAATTTGATTGTTTAAAATCTATTTTTTGTGTATTATTCTTATCATGAATGTAAATAAATTGTGTTTATTATGTTAGAACATTAAGTAACTATTCAAATGTGACTCTTGTGAATACTTGTACAGTGGGATAAATGTTTTATTTATGTTGTTGAAGAAACATATTTCTTAACTGAGTGCTTTTAAATTATACTTGTCCAAGTTGTGTTGTGAAGTCTTTATTTCTTTGACTAAGACTGAACATTATTATTCCATAGGTAGACTTGTTTTTATGCCTATATCCCCAGTTAGTATAGGTTCTAATGTTAGTATAGGTTCTAGTGCTTTTAAATTATACTTGTCCAAGTTGTGTTGTGAAGTCTTTATTTCTTTGACTAAGACTGAACATTATTATTCCATAGGTAGACTTGTTTTTATGCCTATATCCCCAGTTAGTATAGGTTCTAATGTAACAAGATTGTATTTTTTTATTTTAGATTATTTGATGGATCAAAACTTGTATGGTAGTTTTACTTTGGAAGAGAGAAGATCTTTAGAAGAAAGGAAATATCTCAGAGAGAGGAAAGACTGCATAATTGGTGCTCTGAGATTTTCTTGTGATGTTTGTCGTAGGACATTTAAACGAAAATGGATGGTTGACAGACACAAGTATATGGTGCACCAAAATGCTGCCTGGAGTTTTCGTTGTGAAATCTGCTCTAGGCCTTTTAGTTGGAAAATTAGTCTGGCCAAGCACAAAAGAATTGTTCACCAAATGATGGATATATAAACTTCAGTTATCTCTTCATTAAAATTTAGCTTTTGTTGCTGTGTAGTCAAGGGTAAAAGAAGACTTTACTAATTTTAACTCTTATGTCTTGAATTAGCTGCTGTAAGGGTTTACTTTCTTCAGTTTTTTAAAAGTTAATTTTTACATTGACTGATGTGTATCTTCTAAGATTCTTAAATCAGTGCTTCAGGATTTTTAGTACTACTTGTGTGTATATGATGATAAAGTTAACAATATTTAAATAACATTTTTCTGGTACTGGTAAATACCTTTTATTGCTCTGTAGTTTTGTGTGCACAAAATGTTAGTGTTTGATCAATATATAAATTTTTAGCTTTTCAAATTATATATAATACTTTCCTCAATCAGTTATTTTCTGTGAATAACTCACTAGTGAAATTTTCTGTTAAAGCCTTGGATGCAAAGTTGTGCAGATCCTATGGCAGTGGTAGATACTGTGTATGCTGGTTAGTTGTGTAGTTGGATATAATTTTAGTATGGTTGTATGAACTGACCTGTTAAATTGTTATCTCAACAGTAGAAGTATTGTTTTATTTGTCTGTACATATTACTCAATGTTTAAAAGTGCATCTTAGTTGCATGAAGGTGCCGTTTGATTTCCAGTGTTTGTAGTTGAGACATCTGTGGTGGTGTTAATACTGAGATAAGTAGATAGATTGGAATAGTTATTGTTTTATTTGTCTGTACATATTACTCGATGTTTAAAAGTGCATCTTAGTTGCATGAAGGTGCCGTTTGATTTCCAGTGTTTGTAGTTGAGACATCTGTGGTGGTGTTAATACTGAGATAAGTAGATAGATTGGAATAGTTATTGTTTTGTCTAGAGTGAAGGAAACAAATTCAATTAATGGTAGACAGATCCACTTCATTAGTATTTATTATCTCATCTGATGACTGAAAAATTAATATTACAAATATAGATGTTTATTTTTACATTAGTTCTTTTAGTGATTTTTAAATTTGATGTAATCAACTTCTGTATTGCAAAGAATTCATTTTATTGATTATAGCATGTAAAAAAAAATAAAAATTGTTCCAAAAGTGGAAGTATATAAAGAGTACTAGTTAGCCTTTTTTTATTGCCAGGTTAGTAGGTAACAGTTTATCAAGAACATTCAAAAAAGTAATGCTCATATGTGGGATTTTCAACAGAGACAAGCATTTTTTGTTAACTTAATCATTTACAGATTGGTACAACACAACTAACTGGAGAAGGAAGAAATAAAATATACCATCTGCAAGTTACAAAATTTATTTATTTCAAACAACACAACTAACTGGAGAAGGAAGAAATAATATACCATCTGCAAGTTACAAAATTTCACTCTCCTAATAAACTTTAAATATGGCCTTAATGATAGGTCATAAGTATTATTATAAATTGAAAACTAAATTAGATAGTTTGCTTAATGTAGCTTAATTTCCTTACTCTGGTCTGTTAATATTACTTTAATTGAAATTAAGATCTATAGTCTTGAAGTAATAATTTTTTTAGGTTAAAAATTACAATAAACAATTATGTTTCACAAGTACATTATGAAGTAATTTGAAGTAGCAACATCACTAGTCAGATAGGTTTCTTGTTACATTATGTACAGTATATGAGCAATTTCAAATAGGTAATTGGGTGTCAAATGATAAATTTATGAATACTTCTGTGATAATAAACAGTTGTTTTGGAGTGAGAAATGGTGTCACTATAGGTTACATTTGAGATAGGTTTCAATATATATATATATCTGAGTACACACAAGCACAAACATATGATATGATTTATTTGTTCTTTAGTACCAAAAGACTTAAATTTGTACAGAAATTCATTGTTTATGTTAAATGTATATGTATCTTAACTAGCTAAAAGTGTTTTAAAAATATTATTATGTTTAAAACCCTTTTTGAAGCATTAATATATAACATATCTTCAGGTAACAGGTACCTTTTTGTTCAAGGTAAATTTGCAAGACAATTTAAAAAAAAGATAATGAATTAAAATTAACAGCTAGTGGTAATACATTCACCACAGTTCATCTGAACATAACTTCAAGGTTGTTGAATTAAATCAGTCCAGTAGATTTAAGAAATTATTTTTTTATAGTATCTGATCTGTTAAAGCTACATCATGAGACAACATAAGTAGCACAGTATTTATTAAACCAGTTTAATTTATGTGACCAAACCTGTATGCTTTGAACTGCAGCTGCTACCTAAAGACTAAGAAACATGAAATAAAATTTAAGGACAAGGGACCAGTTGGTCCATCTAGGCTATTCCATCCATTAAATTAAACTTTAAAATAGAAATAAAGCACTCAAAATTAGCTTTCCTTTAAATTCTCTAAAGTCTACTGCATCCACCATATCCAAAGACCGACCACCATCCTTTAAATTCCCTTAAGCCTACTGCATCCACCATATCCAAAGACCGACCACCATCCTTTAAATTCCATAAAGTCTACTGCATCTACCATATCCAAAGACCCTGTTAGAAAAATATAATTGTTTCAGCTGAAGATGACTCCAACCCTGCCATAATTTATATCCATGTCCTCTAGTCCTGTCATTCTCACCATTAAGTATGAAAAAAGATATGCATTGATACTGCCAATTCTCTTAACAGCATGAACCACATTGATCAGTTCCCATTTAACTCTTCTTTTTATTCAAAATAAAACAATTTCAGTGTTCTTAACCTGTCATTATATGATAAACTTTTCATATCATCTTAGTTCATCCCTCCTGTTCATCCATTCTAACAATTCCATATATTTCATAAGATAAAGACTGAATGGAGTGACCTAACAAGTGATCTTTTACAAAACATTCAACTTCTTACATTAGTCATATTATAACAAAACTTGTTTTTAATTTTACAATTTCTCAAATGGAGGGGGAACCATTATAGTGTCATAGTTTATTGTAGAAGGTATTTGTGGACCTTACAGTAAGTTGTTAGTCGAATATTTACAAATATTTGGATTGTCCAAAGTGTAATATTACAGCCTGATGTTATAATGTATTTTGAATATTTGTATTACAAGCATAATAGAAAATTAACAGTGTAGAAAGACTGGATAAATCATGTTCAAGTATAGTTTTAAATGTTCATCTCCTTGTTAAATAACTTGGTTTTTATTACTTGTATAAATAATGAATTTGTGTTTAAGTATCTTATAAGAAAGCCTCAGTTAGTACCCAAACTTTTTTATATAAATTTTGTTTTTTATTATAGGTTCAGAAAAAATGGAGTGGGAAAAAATGTTGGTTGAGACACCACAGGGCTATAGATACCTCTGTCCATCATGTAGAAAATGTTATGCATCTTCAGAGAGCTTAAGGATTCATCATTACTATCAACACAGGAAACAAAACCTTTACCATTGTAACTATTGTGGTAGAGGGTTTCTTAGGAATGGTGATATGAAGCGACATTCGTTTGGTTGTAAATTGAGAAAGATGGATTAGGTAATAATAGATTAGTGTAAATACTGCTTTATTTTTGCAAAAACGCATTCATTAAAATTATTATTTAACAGCTGGAAGAAATAAACATTCATCTAGGATAATACTGTTGTGGTTGTACCTTACCTCTGCTAAAAGTAAGTTGTAAAATTATTGGTTTAATAAAGTATTTTTAAGAAGGTTAAAATAGTTACTGGTTCTCAGATTATTTTTATGAAACTTTTAAATTTGGATTTCTTTGCAATGTTTTTTTACCAGGAACAACAAGAATATTACATGTAAATGTAAACAGTGATTACTGATTGAAGCGTCACATGAATGAAATAATGAAAGCATGCTAGTCTCAAACATGAAAACTATTTATTTTTGTATGTAATAAATAAAGGAACATTTTGGCTACAAGATCCTCTATCAGTCCAAATGTTACACACACAACATTTCACCAGCTCTGTGGACATAATATTTTAAAAACAGTTCTTTACTTTTTATAGTTGTTTTAATATGGTTAATTTTTTTAATGGCACAGATTTTGCTCACTTGGTGCTTGTTTTCATTCTGTAAACACTAATATGTTAAAATCAATAATCTCTTCTCTCCAGGATCATACCGATACCGGTGGAAGGCCATGGCAATAACCACAGGAAGTGGATGCCAGTACATGTGTCCCATATGTAGAAGAACATTCCGTAGCACCAATTCACTTAGATGTCATCACTTAGATGAACATAGAACTCCAAAAAGGTTTTGGTGTCATTTGTGTGGAAAAGGTTTCAAGTGGAACTGTAATTTTAAGAATCATCAGTGTCGAGGACAGATATGATACAAATGTATTTATTGTATAGCTTCCTTCTGCTGTAAACTTTTTAATTAATTAGTTGTTTTGTAATAAAGTTATTTGAACTCAAAAAAGTGAGACATCCATAATTATTTATGTATTTCATACCTTACCTGAAATTCAAAAATGCTCAACTAACTAATAATTCATCATTCAACACTTCCCAAAAGTAGTAGTTGTGTTTTCAATTTCATATTATAGTGAATAGTATAACTTTCATTGTGTGTCAAGATAATATTTTATATTACTAAATCATTAATTTATTCATAATTTGCTTGCTTGATGATTTTTATGTGCTTGAGAGAATCCTAAGCTTAGTGACAAAAGAGAAGTTTTACGTACTGTTTGTTACTTCCAATCTCACATATATATTGTTAAAAAGACTTTTCTAAGTGTTTACAGGTGGGTATAAATAAAAGCTAGGAAACATTATGTTGTGGAGAAGAATCCTTGTAATCTCAAAAAACTAAAAATATTTCTTCATGTTCTAGTGAACAACTTAGTTCATGTTGGAAACAATGTTTGCCAGTTTTATAATGTTTCATAGTGAGACCCAGGACATACATATAAACCTTATGAACATGCACCTAAAGAGTAATTATTTGAAATTGTCCAAATTCTTTTTTTTATTTTTTGTCATAGAAAAACCCAATTTCAAATAATTGTGAGAAATCCCACAGTGCCTTGATGCTTTAGAGACATCACAAGAAGTGTTTGTAGTTTTTTAATAGATTTATTTTGAGTTTACTTACACAGTATAAGTATTATTATATTACAGGTAACGGCTTTTGCAGTAAGGAAGATTGTTTTTTAGAATAGGTACAACATTTTGATCACTGGTGACATCATTCTCAAGTACACAAGTTAAATATCTTCATTTTAAGTAAAAACCTATCAACTGTTAGTTTTGAT